TTGAACTCTAAATCCTGAATCCTACAAACCCTGAACCCGAAACCCTATAAACTCCACAAACCCTAAATCCTAAACCTGATCCTATGAACTCTAAATCCTACATCCTGTAAAGCCCAAACCCTTTAAACGTAACCCTGTAATCCTAAGCCCTACAAACCCTAAATCCGAATCCCTACAAGCTCCACAAACCCTAAGTCCTAAACCCTTAACCCTATGAACTCTAAATCCTAAATCCTGTAAACCTCAAACCCTCCAAACGTAAGCCTTTAAATCCTAAATCCTACAAACCCTAAACACGAAACCGTATAAACTCCCACAAGCCCTGAATCCTAAACCCTAGCCCTATGAAGTCTAAATCCTAAATCCTGTAAACCCTAAATCCTGTCAACCCCAAACCCTTTAAACATAACACTTTAAATCCTTAACACTACAAACCCTAAACCCGAAATCCTATAAACTCCATACACCTTAAATCCTAAACCCTAAATCCTAGACCCTAAATCCTAAACCCTGAATTCTTACCCCTAAATCCTTAACACCAGATCCTAAACCCTAAATCCTAAACCCTAAATCTTTAATCCGAAATCCTTAATCCGAAATCCTTAACCCGAAATCCTTAACCCGAAATCTTTAACACCAAATCCTAAACCTTAAATCCTTAACCCTAAATCTCTAACCCTAAGTCCTAAACCCTAAATCTTTAACCCTAAATCCTTAACCCTAAACAACCCTCAACCCTAAATCCTTAACCCGAAATCCTTAACCCTAAATCCTTAAGACAAAATCCTTAATCCGAAATCCTTAGCCCGAAATCCTGAACACCAAATCCTAAACCCTAAATCCTTAACCCTAAATTCTTAACTCGAAATCCTTAAGCCAAAATCCTTAACCCTAAATCCTTAAGCCGAAATCCTTAACCCTAAGTCCTAAACCCTAAATCTTTAACCCTAAATCCCTAACCCTAAACAACCCTCAACCCTAAATCCTAGACCCCAAATCCTAGACCCTAAATCCTAAACCCTAAATCTCTAACCCTAAATCCTAAACCCTAAATCTCTAACCCTAAATCCCTAACCCTAAACAACCCTCAACCCTAAATCCTTAACCCTAAATCCTTAACACCAAATCCTAGACCCCAAATCCTAGACCCTAAATCCTAAACCCTAAATCTCTAACCCTAAATCCTAAACCCTAAATCTTTAACCCTAAATCCCTAACCCTAAACAACCCTCAACCCTAAATCCTTAACCCTAAATCCTTAACACCAAATCCTAGACCCTAAATCCCAGACCCTAAATCCCAGACCCGAAATCCTTAACCCGAAATCCTTAACCCTAAATCCTAAACCCTAAATCTTTAACCCTAAATCCTAAACCCTAAATCCTTACCCTTAAATCTCTAACCCTAAATCCCAAACCCTAAATCTTTAACCCTAAATCGCTAGCCCTAAACAACCCTCAACCCTAAATCCTCACTGCCTGCAAAGTACCGGCTTCCCAGGGATTCCTCCGGCTGCTGGCCTTGACCTTTGACCCAGCAGCGGCAGACCTTCCGCAGCCCGGTCTGAAAAAGTCTAGCTGGGGGGGGATGGTGGAGTTTAGGATTCTGGGTTTAGGGCCTAGGATTGTGGATTTGGGGTTCAAGATTTAGGGAGTGCTGTTGGGGTTCAGGGGCTAGGGTTAAGGGCTAAGAGGTTCGGGGCTTTAGATGGGCATTTCTGATTTGAAGTGTGGGTATGATTCTGGATCCGAGGTTGCAACTTGTGGATAGGTGCTGGCCATGGGGCAGTGGCGCAGCTTAGCTTGCTCCTGTATGCCGTATGTGTTTTTGTTCTGTTTTTGTGCGCGCTTCCGCTAATGGTGCTAGTTTGCTATCGTTGCCTTCAGATCCGTTAAGTTTCCGGCCTCTGTTGTTAAGATCTGAGTTTGCGTTTTACAGTTTGGCTCAGGGTTTCATTGGGGCTTGGTTGTCGGGCTCATGGCTTTGGACTGTGGCAGAGAAGAGTCTGGATCTTAGGATTGTGAAGGCCGAAACGATGAGGTGCCCTGGGAGGAGCTCAACGAACCCTTGGGCCCAATACCGCTTTCTTGATGAACCAATCTTGAAGCATGCGCTGGAAACCGGTAGTTTTGGGGATATGTTCCTTCATGGCGGGGAAATGGTGAAAGCACGCTCCTCCTTTGTTGGGCCCCCAAACTCAAGCCTAATCAATCTAGGTCAGGATACGCCCAGGACCCCTGGTTTAAGCCTTAAACCCGACCAAAAGCCTCATTCGAAGGCTGCAACTGTGCGCCACCCTTTCCGCGCCGCTTGGGACGCAACAGGACGGCATCATATAGATCACCACTGAAACGAATTCAAAGTTGCGACCCTAAGCCCTATAGTACTATAGACACGCAAAGATCTCAAGAACACTACTTCAATGGTCCCCAGCCTCCTTCAAAATTAGAAAGCCCGGAGCCAAAACAGCTGAACCCTAAACCTCGTAGAATCCCCAGCATCCCTCAATCCGTGCCCTAGTCCCTGAACCCTGAATGCCTGGACCCTAATTCTCATGCCGAGGCCCAACAGGAAAGCTCTTCACAACAAGTCGAGTTTGGTCACCCCAACTCTATACTAAGGACCATATAAGAGCCATATGACGGTGATATGGTCCTCTTGTTGCGGCCAAAATCCCAAAACCGGAACCATCATTCAGAAAGTCGGAAGTTCCTGCACGCCCCTCAGTATCTTGTGCCTTGCGAACTGTGGCATTCTAGTGGGCAACTAACATGCTAAGTTGTTTTCATGCTAACACACAAGGGTCCAGGGACTGAAATGTGGGTCTCCAGGTAGCCAAGATCTCATTATCTCAAGTTTTGGGTTGTATCTACACCCATGGTATTCGAGTCCAGCAGAGTTGGTGCAGCTCGCTAGCAGGTGGGTGGCGCACCATAAGGAGCTCCTCCAACGCTTCGCCGGGCAGATTGTTGAGGTATCGTTGTGCAGGGTTTCTGGTGCAGGGTTTGCGGCTGAGTGTTCAATGTTTGAGGTTTCGGCTTCCAGGGAGCAAAAACGTTCTCAAGGGACGGCCTATTGCTTTAGCTTGTTTGCACGTCATATCCGCCAACAGACATGTACACGGCAGTTTTGGGAGGATTCCAGGACAGGTTGAATTTTGAAGAGAGGGGGTACTTTCAAAGCGGCGATACGGATAATATATCTGAATCTACATCCCTTCATTTATGCATATCTAAAAGGTTTAGGGATGAGGGCTGCTGACCACGAGGTTTCGCCAACTTTGCCGACTTGAGGGAATCTACGGAATCATGAGGATAAGTATAAGTACCTTTCCTTCATTCTCGTTGTGGTGTGTGTGTCTTTAGAGTTTTTGCCCCGCTTCCCCTTATGATAAATGAACCCAAGCTATTGTGCTATGCTTTGTCGTCTGTTGATCTCACATCCCGAGCTGCGTCTAGACTTCCCAGATACCCAGACAGTTGGTCACTCATCCCAAGATGGTGGGTATGTATGTAGGTTACTCTTAGGAGTACGTAGTTGCGAGGTCCAGGTGAGCCTCCAGCCTAAACCGTCAAGCGACGCCTAGCAGCCCAGAAGCACTACTGTCCTTTCATGGCATTCCAGATCAGTCTAGGGGAGCGTTATGGAGCGTTCCTACCTCCCCACCAACCTGCACCTGATCTGATACCTCAAGCTTCCCCAATCTTGAACACCTACACGTCCAGGGTCTGAAAACACCAAACGGCCGGTTCTTTTGCTGGGTAGGTGTTAGGGTCGAAGCCTAAGCAGTCGGGTAGAGGATCCATGATGTTCTTAGTGGACAGGGGTGTTTGGTGGGGAGTCATGCTGTATGCCTAAAGCGAGCTGCAAAAAAGCCTCTCGCTACAGGCGATTTGGAATCTGCTGGTGGCGCTGGATGACAGAGAGGATAACGACCCCTTAGCCACTTCAGCAGCAAGGAAGTTAGGGTGAAGGTCTTGGGTTTTATGGCTCGGGCTCTAGGGACGCTGGGGAGTGGGCGCCCTGCCTAAGAGTTTTGGATACAGGATTGATGGCTGAGTGTCTTCAGGATCCTTTCCTGTTTTGGGCTTTTGATACGATGAAGGGCTGAGGCTTGTTGAGAATCGGCGAGCGAGCTTGAACAGATCGGCTGTGGGGTTGCACTTTTTGGGCTTTTGGTCGAGAGGTCGGGTTTGGCCGCCATCCTCTAAGAGTCTCCTAAGAGGGTCATGGCGTGAATTTTCAGGCGTAAAATCCCTAATCAAGGATCATGGCTTAAGTCGTTCCAGGGATCCTGGCCCAATAAGGGCTAGTGTGTTGGGAGATCATCCTAAGCTCAGATTTCTGAATGTTCAATTTCTAGACGTGTAGGCTGATTCATGTTTATTTTGTTAGGTTACATGGTACGAATTGCAGAGATCTCAACAGTACAAAATCAAGTGTCTGATGCACACTTTCCAGCTTTCCTTCGCAGTGAGTACAGGAAACACACAGCCAACTGCAGAAAACGCTTTGCCAAGTATTAAAAACCCATCCCCTCACTGCGAACATGGTCTCTACTGCAACCACTTTTTTGAGAGGAAACTTCAGGATTAAGCACCTAACCCCTTACATTCAATATGATCCCGAATGCAAGCACCTTCCCCTAGCAAAAATCCAACGAATGACAGCTACCCCCATGGCTTAAAACCTCAAACACTAATTTCTTGACCGCACCTTTGTGGGCAGCACGCGTTTATTATTAGGAGCAGGGATTGTGTCATGTCAGCTGCAAAATTCAAAAAGGGACATGGAATATTCAGGGGGGTGCTCAATGTGAGGGGAAATCGAGCACCTGTTCCGCAGAACCCCCAAACCCTTAAACCTTAAACTGCATGCAAACCTTAAAGCTCTGAAACCCAGCCATTGAGCCTCAAACCATATAACCTTGGTCCTACCGACCCTCCAGCCCTAAACACTCCCTCAATGCTAAAACCCAAACGCCAAACTCTAAAGCCTAGGTCATATCCGGCCTCGGCGTGCTCTCCGCTGTTTCATGACTGGGTTGTTGGCATTTAGGGTTTCTTCGCGGTATTGGGTTAAAGCTTCGGCTCGCAAAGGGCTTGGGATTCAGGATTGCAGGTTTCAATTAAGGTCTAGGCTGTGGAATATGCCTGGATTTTTGAGTGCCACGGCCCCTGGAAACACAAGACCGCATCCTTGGACATGATGTCTTCATGCTGCATGTCCCGGCGACAGTTCGGCGCTGGAGGTTTTTCAAGATCTGGATCCTCATATCGGGAGATCGCGTGTTTATGGGTACATAGGGCGGCGGCAATTCGCAGAGAAGCCAGCTCACAGCATATAGCCACGATCTTTCCTCGAACAGATGTTCCCCAAAACACAAATTCCATTGTAAACCCAAACACCGCACCTCAACACCTTAATACATCACCCTTGCTCAAGCCTAAACCCCAAACGCCTAGACCTTGAACCCTACACCCCAAACCCTGAACCGCTCATCCTGAATCCCTGAGCAATTCCTGAACCTCAACTCACCGCAACACACCCCACAGCCTCAACCTGAAACTTGCTTGTTGTAAACAGTGAGGGGAGGAATGGACCTCATTCTAGCTGTTTGGCCTTGACTGCAGGCCACCCTCCTTCTTACTGGTCGTCAGTAAGGGGTGTAGGAACACATCCATATAGCCAATATCTAACCTTCAATAATGAGCTAGTTTCTACTGTCTCTTCCCTTATCTCAGTCCTACCCACAACCGGCGCGTAGGTCCCGGAAGCCCAAGTCTTGAGATCTACCAAACGTGACCAAGGTCGGCTGCCAGGATTGGGCGCCCAGTCCATTCCAAGATCCAGCTGTGCCTTACTATCATATCACACAGGGGTTCAGGGTTGGGATTTCGGATTTAGGATGTAAGGCTTACTAGGTGGCGCTTTGGGATAATTAATGATTTCGTAGACTGGTACCCTATTTACTCATATTTCTGGGGGCCTCTACAGTACCACCCAGCTTAGTGTCACAAATGAGGGGTTCAGATTGTGGTGTCTAATTTTGCTTGCAAGATGAGGACTATGCTCTGTTTTGTGTAGGAACGGGTTCCCTAATCTTCAGAAAATCCAAGTCATGTTTTCTCAGCATTCTACAACCGCTGACACGACCTTTTCTCCTAAATGCTTCACAGCCATGTTTAGTGGCCGCAGCCAGACGAGTTTCAGTAGGGGGGAAGTGCTCCGGAGATAGATGTCCGCTTCTGTGAGATGGTATTGTGTACGAACATCCTGCAGTCTCGTTTCCGTCGTTTCTGCGCTTGCTTGTTTGTTCCCATTTCATGGGGGAGCGTCAAGCCCTCAGCCTCCTGACGGCTACCCCTTTTGTTACTCAACAGAAATTGCAGTTGCTCGGTAAGCAGAGGTTCACCCATTCACTTGCAGTTTATTGCATCAACGCATGGATTGAAGGCTTCCATATCTGTTTCGGGATCCGTCTGCCCACGCTCATGGAAGACCTGGAGCAGACATGCTATCCGAGAAGACATCCCAAACCCATTCAACGGTACCTACATATGCTGCAAATCATCTTGAGCCCTCACTGCTAACTGCTGAAGCCTAACTCCTAAACGTGCGTTCCTAACCCCAAATCCTGGACTCTCTAAACTCAAACCCTTAATCCTGATTCCGGAGCCCTGATAAATACCCCAAGCGCCGAAGTAACTAAATAGCACTAATTCTAGGCCCAGAAAACTGATATGGGAACCTGTCTGAGTCCCAAGTAGGCTAACGCTCTTCCGAGGTGCTGTCGGCCCTTTGTGATCGCCTTGTCCTCCCGTGCCTTGGGCATGCACTGATCGCCGAAAAGCGTAGCTGGCTTTGAGTTGGGGATTTAGAGTTTGGGAGTTAGGGCTTTAGATGTTAGCAATTTAGCGTTTTGGACTAGGATTTGGAGTTCAAGGTTTCAGCTTAGGATGTAGGGTTTAGAGCTTGTAGAGTTTAGGGATGTTTAGGGTATAGTGTTGGGAGTCTGGGTGTGTCATGGTGCCCGCAGTATGTCTATGTTTGCGGAGGACACACACGCTATTACCCCATGTGCATGAGTGGCCCCAAGCATACGACTCCATAAGGTCAGGGTCAAGAAGCCTGAGCCGAATTGAAGCCTAAATCCTAAGTCGTGCGGAGTGAATGTGCATACAACTACGGTTGTCCAGGCAAAGGAAGGCGACCGAAGCCCACATAGACTTGAATGCTAGCCCTTTGTACTGCCTAACGGGGTCCCAGTACTTTCCTGCGGTCCCCCAGCGCACACCTCTTGTGAGAAGCTTCCAGGGCTTAAGAGTCAAGGGCATTACAGGGCTTATGTTAGTGGCCTAGATGAAGTTCAGCGTTTTAGGATGTAGGGTTTGGGGTTCAGAATCTACTGACCACACTCAGCAGCAAAGCAAACACCAAAGGAATCTCTCTTTGCGTGAGACCGACTTGCGGCTCTTCCACGAAGATCTGCAGGACTGATGGTAGAGAAGCTTTGGATCCCTAAAGCAGGGCAAATGATAAAGACCTTAGCTGACATTGGCCCAAATTATGGTTTGGTAAATGGCAATGAATTCGCCTCATTTCTGGCCTTTAACTTGTTCTAACGTAGCTAGATTACTGCATTCCCTACTTGCTGAACGCTTTTTTGACCCAAGGGGTCAAGAGGTTCAAGGCCCTTTGGTCAAAGTTTTGTAGCTTAGGCATCTAAAGTAGGACAAAGCACACGTGGGCTCAAGTGCCACTGAGACTCGTGCTGGGCACAGGTGGCCCCTCTACTGCAACACAGTACACCCGGACATCTTTGCATACGTTCCGGGTTCAAGGCTTAGGGTCTATTCGTTTTGCAGCGTACCTCAACCCGAAACCCAAAGCTCTGCTCACCCAACCCCACATCCGAGGCCCTCGCAGCCCCTCAAGCCCAAAAAGTCACCACCTCTTTCCAGGAGTTCATCGCACGCGACGTGGAGGGCTCCGACCGCGACACCCGGCGCTGGGCTGCGGTGGACTTGGCCGCCTCGGCGAGTTTGGCACATTGGGGGTGCTTGGATTAGAGTTCAAGGTTGATCTGGCTTCAGGATTACGGTTCTGGGTTTAGGGATTATGGTGCTTAGGACTTAGAGTGAGAATCCGTGGCTTGCTGTGTTGGGCTTTGGTTGCGGATCAACGCTTGTTTGTAGATGCCATCGGGTTTTGAAAGATGACCCTGGATTTTCAGTCAAACGCTCATAAGCCCCCAAGCCCTCAACCTCAAATTGTAAAGCCTAAGCTAGCAATCATGACGAAATCTACTTTTTGGGGGAGGGGGTTTGAATCAGCTCTCGTGTGCTCATTTCTGGAGTGGCCAAGTAATCGAGTCCATCTAGAGAAGCTTCTGAAACTCATAGCTCTGGAGGAGTTTGGCAAGTATTCTTACAAGGGGTCCTCCATAAATGTGAACAGAAACTCTTGACTCTTTTGCCCCAGGTCGGCAAGGGGCAGGCTTTTCCGGGCGGGATGTCGCTACATCCCGGCTCGGAAATGCCTGCCTGCGCGGCCCCCGTGCCAAAGACATGCTGTTGCACGCGCTTAATTCCTGATGGAGTTGAGAAAGCAACGTAGATTTCAGAATCAGCTGTCCGTTTTCAGGAGCTCGGATGACACTCTGTAACCTTGCGAGTAACTGTTGAAGGTCAGATCCCTTCGACGTCGCCACGACAAAGAGGTGTGCGTCCGGGCCACAGCAGACCACAGTGGGGTGGGCTTCAGGGTTTTGTATAGGGATATAAGTCTGGCGGGATATTTAAGGGTATACAGAGGTGGAAGTATGTGGGGGCATGTGCAGTTAAGGGGATGGCCCCTAGCAGGCTCCATGCGGCTTCAAATCGAATCCAAGCATTGCAAAATCCAAACAACATGTTACATGGCTGGTGAGAGAGTCGCTTCCGGACACGAGAGGGAATTGTCCAGCATTTACTCAAGACAGCACCTCAATTACTTTCATTGTTTTTCCACATCACTGAGATCCGCTTTTTGGTGTCCATGTCTTGAGAAAGAACCTTACCATCAGATCAACCCTTGCAGCAGAACCCCACACCCATCAGCACAACCCTTAACATCTCACTCACACTCTGAACCCTAAACCCGAGCACTGTACATCCCTCTCGGAAAGCCGCAAAACATTAAAGTCCACACCCAGGAAGTCGTGGTGGCCTCTGCGGGCCGACTTCTTCGGGAAGCAGTCGCTGCAGATGAGCGGAAGGCCTGGAGACGGAGAACAGACGGGCAGTGAACACTGAGGGTTGAAAGGGAGTTTATTTGTTGGGGGTCAAGGGTCTAACCTAGTGATTTTCATTTTTTCACGAAATGCCTACTGCGTGCCAAAAAGCGTAGAAATGCCAACTAGCTACGTTAGGTTATTTGGATCCCCAGGTCTTATGATTTAGGGCCACATGGCTAAGGATTGCGGTTTCAGAGTCAGAGCCTTGCATGCTGTGCCTCAGCCAAGAGTTTGTGCGTAGGGCTCCAGATTCACAAGTGGGCGGAGAACAGGCAACCAAATGGATTTGGAGTTCTGTTTCGGCTGAGAGGTCTTTGGTAGGAAGGTGTTGGAGGCGATGGATTCTTTATCTTGATTGCATTTGTCGTGTTTATTTACTTCGCGTCGTGCGCTGGTAGATAGCATGAAGGGGTTTGAGTGTTTGTCATCGCTGTATTTCGAGGATTCAGGGGCTACATCATACCCGTGGCATCCTAAAACTGTGCTTGATGGCTGGGGATATTGTACAAGGCTTCGTAATTACCACTATTTTCCTGCATAATGTATACATAAGTCAGTGTAATATGCGATACCAGAGAACATTGTTTTTCCAAGTTAACAGGCCCCTGCGGTACTATGTAGGATTGAGGTTGGGATTCCTCTGGAGCACGATGACGGCATGATTGCAACCGAGGGGCGTTGCGTTGCACCGGGTCACCAGTTGAGAAATGCGCACCGTTTAGCAGCTTTAATCCTCCATTGTTACGCTGAACTTTTCCGGTTGGGGCGGAAGCGAAAAGGGGAGGGCATTGCAGATGGTAGATGCTTTGGGACTGCTCTGATTTTGGGTTTGGCCTTATGTGCCACCCACTCTCTCCTGAGGAAAGCATGAAGTGCAAGACCCAGGGATCATGAACACGTGTTAATATCCTCTACCGTGTCAGCGCAAGGAAGCCTTAATCCCTCAACCCCACTCCCCCTTGGGAAATGCTTAAAACCTGAATCAGAAGTCGAACATCCACCAAAACCTTGCGCCCCTAATCCAAAGGATGGCCCTGGAAAGCCACATTCCGTTACCTGCTGCAGGTGGCTATCTACAAGCATGTCGCTTTAGCTGCACATCAGCTTAGCTACAAGGGAGACTTTGTGGTGAAAATAGGGCTTTTTTTTTGGAGCATGGTTCAGATGAACTCATCAGAGAACTCCTGGAGACACCGCGAGTCAACTGCTCTAAACACAACGAATTCAGGTTTAGGCAGGAGGAGGGTGCAGGTCCAAGCCTCAATCTCGACGGCCGGGCGCACGCCTTCTGCTTAGGATTCTTACTTGACAGAAATTTTCGGAATCTGATACAAAGAATCAAAGCGCTTGTCCTACGTGCAAGTTCCTCTTCATCCGATGAGGATTCGCGTCTTATTGTGTGAACATTCTAGATGATGACAAATGGTTCCACTTGCCTTTGAGAGGAAACGCGGTTGGCACATCAATTTTCCTGCTAGTCAATGTGCTAAACAACAGAGCCAATGTGTACGACTTGAATTCATCTGTGTTGGCCATCTATCGTATTATAAGGGGGCAAGAAGAGCGCGCATGAACGTCAGCGATCCTTCCAGTGCTCTTCCGTCCTAACCTCCATAAATCCAACCCCTACGGCTCTGGAGAATCAATTCTGAAGCCCGATACCCTTCAACTTATGTTCTTATGACCCATGACCAGCAAGACTTGGTAAAATCTCCCTGCAAGATCCTAAGCCCTAGCCGTTGTCGCTGGTGCTTAGTAAGGAACCGGGAAAGGGATCCATTGCTTCATGCCTTACAAAGCAGCAAGTAGCCGTTTCTGATGTTAAGCAGGCCTGCATTCACTTGGTGATTTCCATGGCGGGGTCGTCGGCCGGGAAGACCATCAGCATCTCGATTCATGCCTTTGTGGGATCGATTCAGTGATGGGAGTGTCAGCGGTAGGGGTTGGCCTCGCCCAATTCAGGGTCAAAGTATCCAATCCTTGAGTACTCTGGATTTTGGCAAAACAAGTTGTAGTGTTGGTGGAGGTATGCGACTACCGAGAGCTCAGCATCTTGTAGTCTCGAGTTGTAAGGCAAAAAGTTCTTGTGGGTTGCAGCTTAGGGTCGATTACTGCAAGGCTTTGGCTTTGTTGAATAAGGTTTAAGATTCGGTCTGGGAATTTGCATTCAACGTTTAATTGCCAGTGTTTGGGTGTGGGGTTTTAAGGCTATTCAGCGGGGCTTAGCATTACTGTGTCTTGAGGCATGCTTTCTTGCATAGGGGACACATTCTCCCAGAGCAGGGCATTGCGTTTGTTGAGTACAGGCTCAGAATTTGTATCATGCCCCCGGACAGGCGTGCGGTGTGACATGGCTGAGCGCAAACTGGTGATTCTTTATCTAGGACATGCCTTGCTGGCTATACCGACTTCAAAACAAATCATACTTGAATACCGTAATAAGCTCAAGCCGTGGGTCCATGTGGAGCCATTGTAGCCCTATGCTGCTCTGGTTTTGTCATAGGCTATTGCCCTCAACCCTGGACCCTGGGCCTGCTCGCTGGCGCATTTTGACTCTAGATTCGAAGAGAGCAACGTCAAACCCTGCCAAGGCACTCCAGGGGGCATTGCTGGGGAATATTTCCGTGATCAGGCAGGGAGTCTAAAGACTTGGGATGAGCTGGTGAGAAGTTGAAGTTTAGGATTGAGGGTTTATAGCCTAGGGCGTGAGGTTAAGGTTTTGGAGTCTAGGGTCTCATGTCTCGGTTGTAGGGTTTACAGGTATTTTTCAGTGCGGGAAGGCGCGCAAGCCGTTGCTAGCTTATTTCCCGAAGCCCCAAACAGATGAACATTACTGCAGCCCTTCAAGGCACGCCCATGTGTGTTTCTCGAAGGTAAGAGTCAGAAAGGCTTACTAGAAACGAAGTCTTTGTTCTGGCTTTGGAAAAGAAGTTCTGGTGCTGCCCCGCCTCAAGCTGTGAACTCTAGACTCACTCATGAACGGTTTAACGATAGGGCGCTGAATTTGGAAGATGGCACTGGGCTCTAAACTTGCTGTACTCACTGTAGCCTGCTGGTCCCCTGCAGATTGCCACGTTCCTTTCAATTCCCTCAATTGCCTAGTAACAGGCACCAAGCAAACCCAATTCGAATTCGGGCCCCCCCCCCTCCCCCCCGGTTTTCCACAAAAGGTGGCACATGAACTGAACTCACAACACCACTTGAAACCCGTTTTTTTTTCTGGCCTTCCTAGCTCTTAATCCCCAAGCCTTACACCCAGTGGCGAATCTTGCCATTGTCGCGATCTCCCTTTTTCCACGTAGGTCCTTTGAAGCTGGCACCTCTCAAGCTCAGGCCTCAGCCCCAATGGTTTACTTTTGTGGGCGTGCGAGCTCAGCATCTAAGCTATAATTGGGCTATAAGTACCAACTATAATTGGGTTAGTTACCCGATAACACATTTAGAGGGACCCTATAAGCCTCATTTGTAGTTCCTTGGCAGGTTGCACCGGAACTTCTGTCACCGGCACAGCCTCAAACTGCGGAGGGCGTCCTCTTCAAGGCTGCCAGGGGGCGGGGCTGGCTTTTGTTTCGGTGCTGCAGGCTCAGGGTTCGGGAGTTTGGGGTGGGGGCAGTGGGTTGAGATTAGATCAGAGTTCATGGGGATGATTTGGAGTGAGGGTTCAGAGATAAGTGCTTATAGGATCTAATTACAGTTGGGGCTATAACCAGAAGGCTCTCGAGGAACTTTGTCAAAGCTGGGAAATCATCCTTGCTTCTAGAGCCCCAGCTCGAAACCCTAGACCCTAAGCCCAAGCCTAGAACCCTGCACCCTTTCACCTGCAGGCAGCCTGCTTGAAGTATGTCACGGTGCTGCGCAACATCCTCTCTGCACCTTGCTTAGCTCTACTTGGAAGTGCTCGAGCCTAGTTGATTATATAGTTTGTGATCCTTGCTACACAGTTGAGCCAAAATCTGGGCGAAAGACTCCAGTTACTAAGTAGCTGGGAAGTAGCACTCCACCTTGCAGAACATGTCGAGGTGCCCTACAGAGAGAAGAGAAGACGGCTACTTGAAGTTAGTGAGTAACTGATAGCCCCACTTCTACTTGCGAAACTTCCGAAAGGGGCTGTTCGGAGTGTTAAGAAGACTTGCGTACATACCATATCAAACCCTCCATGTGAGAGAATACCTTTAAAACGTATCATTGTGGTACACATCATTGTATTTGTGTTTCTGCCGTAGCGCGGCCTCCTACATAAGTTTTCCACAACTTCGACACCGTAATTCGGGAAAAGTCCCATACTCAAAGTCTCCAGGTACCTGTATGGGCTACGCTTGGACCTTCAGAGTTCCTATGTGGCTAGTTTCGGGCCAGGTATATCCCATGTACCCCATGTAGTTATATGGAGCGTGTGCGATGAAGATTTTTCGGCAACTTTCGCAGCGTAGGTAGACATGGTGAGGGGCATC